GATCTTAGGGGCACTGCCACTGCGCCCGTCACCCTGACACATAAGATGACAAGTCCCATGTGCCTGTAATTTCACCAGCACCCTTACCCTTAAAAATCGGAACACAGTAATGCTGACATTACTGCTTGGCGGCAGAAATAGGTAAGGTGGCAGTAGTTCCCTGGGTGAACTCTTTCACGAGAAGCTCTACTGCTACTATATAATTAAGATTCATTTCCAAAGAAAATATACAATACTTTTTAAATGTGTCCTAATGGGTTGAATTAAATTTAGAAAATTAAAATTAAATGTTATGACCTAAGCCAAAATACTTTGCCTTGATAATGTAAATGTTTAAATTATTAGAAAAAGTCTTAAACTGTGTACAAACAGAAAGCGAAACGACACGAAGCAATAACGCAGCTCACCGAATTGGTTCAGCGGCATGACCCGACCGCAACGCGTGTGCACGTTCTGAGAAAGATAGAGAGCTTGCGGGCTTGTGTGCGAAGGGAACACAAGAGGGTTCGCGATAGCCGACGGAAGGCGAAGAGCGACGACAATGTTTACAAACCTCAGCTGTGGTACTACGAATTGTTTTCCTTTGTGTTCGGCGAGGAAGGAACTGGTTGGAGAAATTACACAATGAAAATGACAGAGGGAAAGATTGAACCCGCGGTCAGTATATATCTCAATTAATTTGTAACCGTGTGACCTTAGAATATTCGATAAATAAGATAAACAAAGCAGAGGTCGTTTACAAAGTTGCTTCTAGATAATATGACCTGAGGTAGCATTTTTTAAATATATTTAGGACATTTCTAATAAAAAACTTGTCGTTTTAAAAATTTGACAATAATTTATGCAACACTTGTACTAGATTACAGTACCTACTATATTAAGCATTCGTGAAACGCGCTTTGAATTGTATGTTTGTTATTTTTCAATTACAATAAATAGTGTTAGGCGTGTCCTTGTCAACAACGCACGTTTCAAGGTCGTCTTTGTTTATCTTGCTAGGTTTTTACTCAGATAGATATTTCAATGTTGATTCATTGGTCAGCTATCAACATTTTTTTTTATAATATCCAGTGACGGGACGAACAAGTCGTGCGCTTGATGGTACGCTACAGGCCTGTCCATAACAGTTGCAGTGCCACTCAGAGCTTAAAATCGCAAAGATCTGGGGAGCACTGCCACTGCGCCCGTCACCCTGAGACATAAGTTGATAAGTTCCATAAATTCCATTACACATATATGCCGCGACTTTTTAAATCGACCATCTTTCTTTTTTTCTACAAATAAATGTTAACAAAAAGGACATGATGAAAAGAAAATGTTGTGTATGTATGTAATGTAAAAATGTGAATTTTTCATACGAGTCGGATTTTTTATGGCAACATTTTTTGCTAAGGCTTTTACCACAAGCTTAAACGTAATTCCTTTTTGTTAACCCTGAAGGTATAAAATAAAATACAATTTATTATATTTCATTGTTGGAATTCCCAATAAGTACATGTTTACAACTGGACGACATGTCTTCGAATACCAGATCTTTTTTCGACGAACCTCCAGGGTAATATATTAATTATGAGGTAGGTACTTTTCGGTCTCGGTAACTTTAGAGTACAAAATTCACTGATAGCTGCTTGTTATTTTGTTACTCTCACAAATCCTGTCTACAACAGTAGCAGATTTCTAACAAAAGGTAAGTTAATTTGGAAACTCTGTTTGGCAACTCGCAAATCTATTTAGTTATACCTACCTACTTCAGTTTCAGTGGGAAGAAATCAATACTAGGTGTATTTTTTTAACATTGCTGTTGAGATATAAGTAGTGCTGTAATTTCGTTTTTTAAACGAAGTGTTTTTATTAAGTTTTTATTGAATTGATATTAATTTTTTTTGTAAATTACTTTACTAGTTTGTTATAATTATTAATACGAAGATCGAACATTCAGAAAAAACATTTAGAAAAAAATCCTTCGATCTGGCCGGATTCGAACCGACGTCTCCAGTAACCCGTGGCAGACGCCATGCCAACTAAACCACGGAACGAACTAGTGGACCTCACGAATTTTTCTATGACTGCTTGTTGTCGGATCTTTGTATTTGGTTTTCAATGACTTTTAGTTGTAGCGCCATCTATGAGAGATCTATGAAAGTATTTTGTCACCAAACTTTATGTTTAAAGTAGTGAATATCTATTAATAATCACTAATAGACTTTGCTACGAATTTTAATTATATTTTAAAAATCACATTTTTGTAACGAACATGTGCCCATCGTTTTTTTATTTGTGCTTGTTAATTATTTTAATTCGTTCAAGGACAGTAACGGCGTTTACTGTAAAAAGAAAAGAAAGTTGCAGTTTTACATTATGAAGCAAAAGAAGTAGCCTTGAATGTTATAATTTTTTTTCAAAGCGGAAAAGATGCTCAGTGGACTTAAACATCCTTTAGACTAGGCCACGAAGAGGCTAGCGAGGCTACTGGTATAACCGAAAAAATTGTTTTGAAATTGGAAAAAGAATTATGTTCGGTGGAACCTGGCAAAGAAATTTCAAAATTACGGAATCCCACGCCGAAAAGAAAGAATCAAAAACTAAACTAAACTAAACGAATTTCGGCTTGTAGCATTAAGAAATCTCGTCACCAGTATTTACACGGTACATAGAGAAACACCAACTTTGAAGAGAATCTACGAAATGTCCCGAAATGAATTGGGCCTACGGTTAAGCATTACAACTCTAAGGATAGTATGAATTGAAATAATGGGACTCAAATATATGAGATTAAGTGGTTGTAAGGTAATCATCGAGAGTACTGAGGCAAGATTATTGAGAATGCAATACTTGAGAATAATACGGGCAAAAAATACTTATGACACAAATACAGTTGTCTATTTGGACGGAATGTGGCTATACGCTCAGTATGTACTTTGTAGAAGTAATAAACAAATGAATGCAAGTCTCAAATGATTGTGTGTATTACATTGACTTACAAATAAATGGACGACGGGTCTAATACAAAAACTACGAAAAAAATGTCCCAAGTCAACCTATTTAAACGTAGTGACATGTAAAGGAATATGAAAAAGCTAAAACGTTGAATTTAAATTGTAATGTCATCGCAGTACTGTCTAATTTTGCTTGCTTCGCTGTCAGTCGAAGAAACGAAGACTAAAGCGTGAATGACGCTCTGTATACGATTTTAACGCCCTATAAGTTCGGACACTTTAGCGCGGACCCGACGTCCATATAATTGTAAGTCAATGGTGTATTATCTGAAAACAGGCCAGGCTTTATTTGTGCAGCTCACCAAGCACCAGTTACTGACATTTACCCAAAAAACTTAGAGAAATGGCTTAAAAACGTATTCTTACAATACTTGCCGTCAAAGAAAATGATAATAGTGATAGACAACGTGTCAACCAATAGTGTTACAACAGAAGAGTGCATTACTCCATAGTTCAATAAAATGGACATGATAATTTAGTTACTTAAGAACAGAATATCATTTGATAGTAACATGTCGACAATTTAATTGTATGGATTAGTAAAAAACCATAGAACATCGACGAAATATGTGATTGACAAAACTCTAAAAGGTAATGATCTACAAGTCCTGTGACTGCCGCCATTTTGCTGCGATTTGAATCCACTTAAACATATTCAGCGGTTTGTCAACTAAAAACTTTATCTTAGTAATATATCCGACGCAAATGAAGTAGAAGCAGCGATAAAACGAGAGACTGAAGCAGTTGAAATTACTGACTGGGGCGTGAAGTGTATTACGTAATATGTTTAGAGCAGGAATATGAGCAGCAGATGGAAAGGGAACTGGAAAAAATTACTTCGGATGAGGGTTTCATTGAAATTAACCCTGACTCCGAAATTAATATTGAAGAAGACATTTTAAATTCGGACGATGAAGAATTTCTGGACAAATGATTAATTGTATTTTTAACAATTGGGAATTATTTTTATCATCAAGCAATGGCATTAAAGAGCAATAAACATTGTTTTTGGGCCATTCCAAAGGGACGAGTGACATTTTTACTCCTTTTTTCTTGAACTTTATGTAATTTCTCCCTAACCATTGGTTAATTAGACTTAAAATGAAAATATCATGAAGTTAGATATTCAATTCAACTGCGACTATTTATTTACACAAATTTATGACATTATTTATACTCAAAACCTAAAAACCCAAAAGTTCTAATTTATATTTCTAAGTGTGACGGGTGGGACACTCACGACACCCGCCTGTTTGAGTTGATGGCTTCATTGCTAAGATCAAGACAAACTATTAACATTTTGTTCAGCAAGTTTTTCATATGAGATAACTTAAATGCTAAAGTTCTAATTTATATATACACTTAATTAATAACTTTGATAAATTTTAAGGAAATTAATGTTAAGTTGTGACGGGTGGGACATGATTTTGTGACGGGTGGGACGAGTTACAATTGAATACACAGAATTAATAAAATTACACAGTTTAATGTGGTTGTTGTCATACAATTAAAACCAAATTGTGCAATTTATTTTTTTGAACCGCGGTGTCATTTTCGCTGGAATGACCTTTTCGCAATTTGCTTTCTTTATCGTTCAATAAAAAATATTATTTTTAATCTAAATTTTATTGTTATACTACACACCTCATGCTAGCAATAAACTAAATATGTAGATTTTTCTACATCGAAGAGATTTAACACAGCCGTAGGACGTCAATAATTTCTCCCACTTGATAAGCATTTGAAGTATTTGTCAACACAAAAAATTAACAAATCAGAGTGGGTGCACCTGGTTGGATCCTTTCTTGATATTGTATGTTTTATTTCATCGATTAATTTAATTAAAAAAAATAAAGCTAGACATTCTTTGTTTTTTTTTAATGTACTTTTGATTTTTTTTGTTTACGTACGTTATGCTAATACCGATATTAGTTAATCAAAATGTGTCAAAAATCAAAATCAATTAGCATTATACAGTTATAATTGTAACATATAAATACTCACAAGGATGTAGTTTCTGTGCAGCGATGTATTTCTCGAGCTTTCTGCGTAGTACAATCTCAGCGCCATATTTTCCGACAGAACCGTTGTCCACTAACAAAAAATATGCATGACGGTTGTTCAGCACTGCTAATTTTGATCTGAAACAAAACGAATGAATCAATAAACGGTATCATACATACACTTTTAAACTTTCGTGTTGCATTGTACTAACATTTGAAAACGGGAATAAACGCGATAAACATTTAAATATATATTTTCACAGATACCTATTTTTCCCGACATTTCGGCCAGTTGTACTGGTCTTGGTCACGGGCTGACTGGTGATGCGGTGTACTCTTCATACACTCTCGCTGTATGTTTATAAAAAAATGCGTGGTGGTATACTGAAACGCGTTTATTCCCGTTTTCAAACGCCGGTATCATTTCACTGTTGTCTCCAAAGTCAGCTTTAAGGCCAAGAGCATGTATTGATGCTTAAAATTTAAATTCAACTCTATGCCTTTTACGATGAGAACGGACTGGAATTAACCTTAGTAAATAAAAAAATACAGGGAGATTATAGAAAAAAATAACGCCATCGTACTCGTATCTGCCCTCTCGTCAGTGTCACATCTGGCGACATTTTTGTCGTAAGTAAATGTACGATCTAACCCGCTTTTATAAGCAATATGAATGAGACAGTTATGTCACCCACAAAACCTTGTTTACCGTTGGGTAAAACCAATGATCTTACACATTTAAAATCATTGGTTGAAACAGTTAAACAACAGATGGTATTAGAGAGCTTATTTAAATTCTGTAGCAGTGGAGCTCCGTGTGAAAGAGTATGTCCAGGGAAGTACTGCCTTACCTATTTCTGTCACCAAGTAGTAATGTGAGCATTATTGCGATCCGGTTCGGAAGGCTAAGGCGCTGGTGAAATCACAGGCACATGGGACTTGTCAATTTATGTCTCAGGGTGACGAGTGCAGTAGCTGTGCCCCCCAGATCTTTGCGATTTAATGCTCTGAATGGCACTGCAACTGTTATGGATAGGCGTGTCGCATACTAATACTAATGTTAGTCACACAAGTCACGTATCCACCTGAAGATACGATGAAAACCGTGGTAGTACCGATCATAAAGAATCGAACGGGGGATGCGTCTGACATAGGGAAAGGACGGAGGGGACGGACTATAGACCCATTTCATTGGCAACAATTGTAGCAAAGGTGTTGGACGGTGTGCTCAAAGAACTAGACAGTCATATAAAACTTAATGACGCGCGATTTGATTTTAGATCCGGACTCTCCACGGAGACAGCAGTTCTTTGTCTTAAGCACACTGTCCGATACTACACAGATAGGAAAACACCTGTATTCGCATATTTTCGGGACTTGTCGAAGGCCTTTGACTTGGTGGCCTATGGTAAACTATGGCAGAAGTTGTACATAGGGCGCACTATAAGTTTCCGGAACTGGCCACTGACATAAACGATATTTAAAAAGTAATTACAACATTTGAAAATGGAAGTCTTTGGCTGTAGAATACAGTTTGTTTTATCTGACTGTTACTTGTTTTTACATTGTGGCGTTATTTTAGAAATTGGTTGTCTACATCACCAGGGATTTAATACATGAAATTTTTCGTAGTATGATTTTCTACGATTTTAAGTATAATTCAACAGCTCAGCGGAGCTTCGCTCGGCTTCAAACTGCTTTTGGCGATAAAGAACCATACAAGACGACTATTTATAGCTGGTTTGCAGAATTCAAACGCGATCGTGTGAATCTTAGTGATGAATTTCGTGATGGTCGCCCGTCCACTGCTGTGAACAACAAGAACATCGATGCCGTACGCCGTATGATCAAAACAGGCAGGCACGTGACATACCATAAGATTCGGGCATTTTTAGGCATAGGCATGAGTCAAATACAATCATTTGGGTGTGAAAAAGCTGTGTTCTCGGTGGATCCCACACAATTTAACTGAGGCTCAAAAAACGGATCGCGTGACTTGGTGCAATGCCATGCTTACCAGATTCAACGAAGGGGCGTCAAATTTGTTGTGGGACATAGTAACAGATGACGAAACATGGATTTATAGTTATGATATCAAAACAAAGCAACAATCGAACGAATGGGTCTTTCGAGATGAGCCGAAACCAACCAAAGTGGCGCGCGTGCAAAGTGCCTCTAAGCGGATAGGTTCTTCTTTTTGTAATTAAACTGGACACGTGTCCACGTGTAGCCACGTGGCTACTGTTGCTTTGGAGAATCGTTATACCGTGAATAGTGATTGGTACACGACCATTTGTTTGCCGGAAGTTATTGACAAACTCCGTAAAAAAACCGTAAACGCCGTATCATCTTGCATCTCACACGGCCAGACAGACAAATGAATTTTTGAAGGTGAACAACATTGACATTATGAGCCATCCCGCGTACAGTCCCGACCTGGCACATTGTGACTTTTATTTATTTCCAAAAATGAAGAACCAGTTACGCGGTCAACGATTTTCATCACCTGAAGAGGCCGTCGAAGAGTATGAGAAATATGTTTCAGAGATTGTCACGGAGGAGTGGCATATTTGTTTTCAAAATTGATTCATTCGTATGAAAAAGTGCATTAACGCTAACGAAGAATATTTTGAAAACAATAAATTCATTTCTGACCATTTATAGTATTTTTTTCTTATTCATTCCGGAAACTTATAGTGCACTCCACGTATAATAAAAAATAGTTATCTATCGTGCATTAGCGATGTAGTCGAACACTGGAATCGGTTCGTCAGGGAAGTGTGTCTAAACTTAATGACGCGCGATTTGGTTTTAAATCCGGACTCTCCACGGAGACAGCAGTTCTTTGTCTTAAGCACACTGTCCGATACTACACAGATAGGAAAACACCTGTATTCGCATATTTTCTGGACTTGTCGAAGACCTTTGACTTGGTGTCCTATGGTAAACTATGGCAGAAGTTGTACATAGGACGCACTATAAGTTTCCGGAACTGGCCACTTACATAAACAATATTTAAAAAGTAATTACAACATTTGAAAATGGAAGTCTTGGGCTGTAGAATACAGTTTGTTTTATCTGACTGTCACTGAAGTGTGTCTAGAGTAGTGCTTTCAGTTTTAGACCTTAATAATAAATATGTAATGTTTAAATCTTATAAAACATATTATTATCAGCCAATTATAAGCCTTATTAAATATTGCCGTAAGAAACAGTTGAAGATTCAAACTTAAATGGCTTGATTTTAATGTTTAAAATAAACTAAAAAGTAAGTCACACTTACACATACTGACCTTATAGTATTTCTTTTATTTCTACGCCATGTAAATATGTAAACCAGTTTAAAATAAATTGTTTACTTCTATATAAATACTGAGGTAAATAGAATGTTCTAGCGCTTTGGTCACGTATGCATCGTTAATAAAATGACCATCAGCTCGTTTTGCTTTCTTTCGATGAATTGTATTTTTATTCACGCTCGACGCTAGGATTTACGTGTACTGAATAATAATCATTACGCTTATAGAATTGGAGTCGTGTGAGTTTTAACAGGACCCCACATTTTCTTACAACTTCACCTAATATAATCTCAGTGCAAAGTACTAAAATAACCGACCACAAGACTCATTCATCCCCTAGTTTGCCACGCTTGGAGGTGGAATATTCAAATTTAAATGGGACCACTGAGGTGCCCACTTTCCAAAAAAAAAAGAATCATCAAAATCGGTTCACAAATTTATTAGTGTTACATATATAAAAAAAACAGTCGAATTGAGAACTTCCTCCTTTTTCCAAGTAGGTTAATAATATTTTACACTTCTATTTCTTTAACTATGTACTGCTTATCTTAAGTTACCCTTGCACTTAGGAAATGAAACTGTTTTTCCGAATATACCGCAGGTATTTGTTTTTTCAAACAAACCGACATTTC